TTCTTCCTCGAGTCAAAAGGTGCAGCTAGGCTGACGAACATGACTCCTAAAAGCCCAGCTGGATCATCTACGGGGACACGGTGAACACGGTGGATGGTCTGTGTCGGGGCACCGGACGACGCAGTCTGAACATGACAGAGACCAAAACAAGACAGGAGAGAAAGAGCGTTCCCACTGCCCACTCACAGCCAGCCACCGGCATGCCCCCCCCCCATGCCCTCCCCCCCCCGCTTCCCTTGGCCGATGCAACGGAGCCCTTCATTTGCACCCGAAGACTAAACCCGAGCACCCCACCGCTTCGCTGAGGTGGCGAGTTTCTGGAATGCTGCCCCTTTCGGTTCGGCGCCTTCTGTACCAACCACTCTCCGTCTTTCTTGAATGGAGGCTTGTCGTTTGCTCCACTCCTCGCCTGGACTTTGAGAGCCCAGTCCTCTCGCCCTTTTCCCCCTTTGACTTTTTTTTTCCCTTTGTGTTGAGATGTGACCCCCCCTCCCCTTTGCCTTTCGCAAAGCGGCGTGGCGCTAACGGCTCCTCCAAACGCCTGTTCTTCGAATCGGGGGATTTCTGACGACAGTGGGCTTCTCGAAGGAATCGCCCGTCTGCTCTACGGGCCACTAATTGATTGACCGACCGCCTTTCGGCCGTGCGATCCGATCCCCTGGGTGTAGGTAAGGGACGGCCGATGTTTTCCTGGAAAAAAAAAAATTCCCATGTGAACTGAAATAATCGTGTGTCCCTTCCACTTTGCAAGGGGGAGCTCCGGCCCAGCCAGTGCCCAAATGGGCGCTATTGCCGTGTACCGTGCCCTTGTCCGTCCTTCAGTTGGATGGCAACGACCCGCATCCGACCTTCCATCACCCATCATCTCCATCTACATCCGCTGCTGGCCGTCGAGAGCAGACAAGGTGCCAGGAGCTCTTGTCATGTCGCTCGGGTTTTTCGACAAGTCTGCTCATGCAGGCAACTCGCTCCCACGGGAACCATACTTCTAGATTCAATGTCCTTGCGGCCTTCCTTTGTGCCGCACTGACGCAGCCACCCTGCAAGTTGGAGCATATGCCAAGCTAGATGCCAATCCCCCCCCTCTTCTCAGCACGATCCGTAGAGCCTCATCGACATGACATGG